GTCTCTTGATCATCTGTATGTACTTTTTAAAGAAGTGTCTATTCGGTCCTTTGCCCATTTTTTAATGGGATTTTGTTGTTGAGTTGTACAACTTCTTTGTATATTTTGGAAATGAACCCCTTATCTGATGTATCATTGGCAAATCTGTTCTTCCATTCAGTGGGTTCCCTTTTCATTTCATTGATGGTTTCTTTTGCTGTGCAGAAGCTTTTAAATTTGATGTAGTCCCATTTATTTATTTTTTCCTTTTTTCCCCCTTGCCCAAGGAGATATATTGGCAAAAATATTGCTATAAGAGTTATCTGAAAGTTTACTGTCTATGTTTTCTTTCAGGGTTTGAATGGTTTTGCAACTTATATTTAGTCTTTAATTCATTTTGTGTTTATTCTTGTGTATGGTGTAAGTTGATGATGTAGTTTCATTTTTTGCATGTATCTGTCCAGTTTTCCCAACATCATTTATCGAAGAGACTGTCTTTACCCTGTAGTATGTTCTTCCTCTTTTGTCATATATTAATTTGCTCTAAAGACATGGATTTATTTCTGTGCTCTCTATTCTGTCCCATCGATCTGTATGCTTTTTCTTGTGCCAATACCATGCTGTTTTGATTACTATGGCCTTGTAGTATAATTTTATAACAGGTGGTGTGACACCTCCAACTTTGTTCTTCTTTCTAAAGATTGTTGAGGCTATTCAGAGTCTTTTGTGATTCCACATAAATTTTTGGAGTGTTCTAGATCTGTGAAATATGCCATTGGCATCTTAGCAGGAATTACATTGAAACTATACATTGCTTTGGGTAGCATGGATATTTTAAGGATGTTAACTTTTCTATCCAGGAACATTTTTTCAATTTCTTTCTTCAGTATCTTATACTATTCCAGGTACAGGTCCTTTACCTCCTTGGTCAAATTTATTCTAGGCACATTATGATTTTTTTTGTTGCAATAGTAAATGGGATTGTTTCTTAATTTCTCTTTCTGATAGTTCTTTTTTGGTGTGTAAAAATGCCACTGACTTCTGAATATTAATTTAGTATCATACTATTTTGCCTACTTCATTTATTAGATCTAGCAGTCTTTTGACAGAATCTTTAGGGTTTTATATATACAATACTATCATCTGAGAATAACTATAGTTTTACTGCCTCCTTTCCAATTTGGATGCCTTTTATTTCTTCTTCTTGTCTGATTGCTGTGGCTGTTACTTCCAGTACTATTTTGAATGAGAGTGGTAAAAGCAGATATCCCTGTTTTGTCAACACCACTTCTTTAAAAGACTCTCATCTTCCCAGCTGCTCTGCCGGGGCAGGGGAAGGGGAGGATGTCACCCTTGCCATATTTAAGGGACTGTGTACGCATTGGGTCAGCTTCCTAGTTTTCCATGCTACACCATTTAAGTCTCTCTGTATTCCTGTACCAGTACCACAGTATCTTAATCACCACAGCTTCATAAATCTCAGTATCTATAAAGCAAGACCTTCCTTCATCCATACTTTCTTTTTCAATATGTCTTGTTTGTTCTTGGCTCTTTGTAGAAATCTGTTAGTTTTAGTTAACCAAACTCTTCTTTTATGGAGTTTCCTTTAAAAATTTTTCCATATGAGCTTTAAAAACTAGATTCACAGAAAAAAACTTCTTTTGTTATTTTTATTGGAATCAAGTTATATTTATAGATGAACTTAGGGAGAACTTATATTTTTATGTTACATTTTTCTATCCAAGAATATGATATGTTTTTCTATTTGTCCAAGACTTTCTTTCTTCATTGGTAGTGTATTAACATTTTTTTCATAGAGATTTTAGGTGTTTCTTGTTAAGTATACTGATATTCCTGAGTATTACCTTACTACTTTTCTTTCCTAAAGAGATTAACTACATACTATAGCATGTACAAGTTAAGATCACAGCCTATGGATTAAGACGCCCTAGATTTAAAATATTTGTCTCCCAATTATTAACTGTATAAACATGAGCAAGTTACTTTACCTCTCTTTATCTCTTTCTTCATCTGTCAAGTGCAGTTACTAGGAGGATTAAATAAATTAGACCTATGAAAGCACTTAGAAGAGTGCCTAGCACATAATAACATTCAATATTCATTTAATAATAGCATTCGATATTAACTCTTATTGTTGTTATTAGAGATGATTGCCTTTTTCCATTAAATCTTCCAACTCATTGTTTATATAAACAGAAACCATTTGCATTCTGTATGTACTTTGTTTCTAGCCAGCTTATTAAATTCTCTTAGTGTTTGCCCTCATATTTTCAACTGATTTTGTAAGTAATCATGGATGCTTCAAACAATATATTTTATTTCCTCCTTTCCAGTTTTTATATTATAATTTATTTCTCTTTCCTATTTACCTTGGCTAGTATGTCCAGAAAAAATATTTAAAACTTTAACAGATATAAATAATCATTATAATCTTTCTTCTCTTGGATTCTAAGAGTGCAGTTTCTCTTGGCAATCTTATTGGAGTTCTCAGCAGACTTTTTTTCTTATCCTTTGCAGGACCTGCTTTCTACAGATGTCCTCGAATATAGAAATTTCCCAGAATACTCTCCTTGACCCCTGCATCTCACAGTACACATCATCTTTATATAATCTTATCCAAATTTTCAATTAATACCCACAATATAATGGCTTACTAAATTACATATGCATCCTAGATATATTTCTTACAACTCTAAATTTTTATATCCAACTTCCCATTGGAATCTCATAAATACTTAATATCTATATGTTTCGAGTGGAACTAATCCTTCTACACACACTCACAAACACACACACTTTTCTTTATGGTAACCACATGAATGTAGTAACTAGAGCTAGAAACATGGGATTAATCCTCAATTTATCTTTTCCCACCATACCTTAAATTCATCAGCCGTTCAGTCCTATGGACTTTACCCCTCAAGGTCATTCCTTCTCTCTAGCTGGAGATCTTTACTTCCTTTCACACAGACTGTTGCAATAGTCTTCTGACTTCCCAGTAGGGCCACCAACTATTGCAGTTTGCCAGGAATTGAGAATTTTCCCAGGATGCAATACTCTCATTACTAAAACCAGGAAAGTCCCAGACAAACCCAGATAAATGGTCCCCCCTACTCTCAGCTTCCAGTATCATCTCATTTTAATGATTGGAAGTCAAATGTATGTCATGGAAGTTCTCCCCAGAAAAGATATATAGACAGAGAAGTTGCGCTTTTGTGTCGGAATATAATAGACCCTCTGAATCTATACATCAACTGATCACAGATTTGCAAGACTTGAATCTGAGTTTTAACCAGTCCTCTGTATGGCTGCCAGAATGATCTGTCTATGATCACAAATTCGAAAATGTCTTTCTCCTTATAAATGTTCTCCAATGGCTCCCTACTGCCTATAGAATAAACACCAAATTCTTTGGCATGCATAGAAGATACTTGATAATCTAGGACTTGTCTTTGTGTGTCAATGAGACTTTGTTTCTCATACTTCACACTCTTGCTGATGCAATGACTGAGCTCCTGGAAGGTGCTAAGGCCCAGGTGTTTCAGCACATGCTCATCCTGTGGTGTACAGTGTCTCTCTCCTCCTCAGCATCTTTGCCTCGGAATTGCTAGTGTAGCTTAGGAAATACAGGGGTTTTCTTCTCTCTGAAATACTTATTCCCAAGTCATCCCCATCAATTAATTGTGCCTTTTCAAATTCCCATCGCTGAAGCTGGTGCAAACCTGGTATAGCACTTAACATCTCCTCAAATGATCTTCTACAAGCCTTTCTTTGCAAATACACCAAAATTGTGGAGCAGGTGCGGTATTGTTTCTTACCCTACTTTGTATCTCTAGCACCTAGCAAGAAGCCTAACACATTCTAGACAATCGATAAATGATCGTTGACTGATTAATGAATGAAAGTGGAAGGAATATAAGGGTCATCTTACACAGGGCAAGGCAATTAACAGCCATCGTCTACAACTCATTACTTAAAATTGTATGTACTTTTAGTAAAGATTTATGCATTAACTAAATGTCACCATTACCAATTTTCTCATTGACGTAGTGGTATGTGATACCCTATGCCCCTATTATTAGCCTTCTAGTTATGAGGGAGGGAAAATGCAATAATGAACCAGAGCTGCTGCTTTATGTATTGCAGCTGGGCCTTCCCTAGCGGTTTCGTACTAGCCTGGCTCAGAGAGCCGATCCAAAGCAGTTTGCAAGGGAGACTGGGAAAGATCACAGCAAGTAAAAAGAAAGTCATTTCCAGTACTAACTCATTCCATTATGCAGGCATATAAAAGTTATCATTGCAATCATTTTCTGAGTTTCGACTTTGTCAAAATTCAAACCTTAACAAGAAATTGATTGAGGAGTGTTTTTTTTTTTTATCACTTTGAAACCTGCTTTTGATACCATTTTAAACACATACCCATATAAGGGAAGGCGCCCAAATTTGTGTGCGACTTTTAAAAGAAAATTGCACCACCTTAGTAGGTCCTCTGATTTCCAGTGGATGTATAACACACAATTCATCAAATGCAAATAAAGCCAAATTCACAACTCTCTCATGTGAATGAGCTCACAGTGTATGTTAGTTCCATTCTGGAGGGTTATTTCTGTGCTTCGCTCACAAGTTTTACATACTGCATTGCTCTTTCTTGTTTGCCTGGATCTCCAATGCTCACAAAACAAGCTGGAATGTAAACTAGCTAATTAACTGTTGTGTTTCCTTCCATGATGAGACATGCCCAGCTGTGGGTGAGGGTTGGCAGTGCCAAGGGTGCAGACTTGACCATGGACAGGAGTCAGTGCGAAGTACTACTGCTCGCTACAGTGGGAAGGCAATGAGGAATCAGTGTTCTGACAAAAAAGCTGAGAAGAAATCAGCTACTAGATGTCACATCAGAGTAAGCAAGGTACAGGCAAAGAAGCAAGAAGACATTTCAGATCGAGGGCACACAAAAGCTGATAGGTAAAAGGGTACATAGGTCATGTCAAGACTACACTTACTCATGAGAGTGTGAGTTGATGAGAGCTCCGTCTTCAGTTTGTGCTGTTCTCTCCAAGTTCAGGAATTACAGGAAAAGTGTGCTGATAAAACTCAGTGTCCACCTGGCATTACACTCTCCTCCAGCTTGGGCAGGGTTCCAGATGGCAGATTTCTTTGGTGGGAAAGGGGACCTGGGGGTCCTTCTCTCCTCTTCTTCTTGCTCATCTTCTACTACATGGGCAGGCTCCTCTTCAGTCTTCAGTGCTGCTGTGGGAAAAGGAGGGTGAGGAAAAAGGGTAGGATGGTTTGTGCTTGAGCTGGGTGGGTTCATGCATTGGATGGGATAGTTACATATTCATTTTCTTTTTCTCTACATTTGAAGATACAATTCTAGGCTAATGTGAGCCCTGTTGAAACTACAATGTCATTCTTCTCAGAAGTAGAAAAAAAACAACAGTGAGATTGGTGTGGAAAGCAATCTTGAGAGAGAAGAACAAACAAAGCCGGAAGTAGCACACTTACCACACTTCTGACTTCAAACTATACTATGTAGCTATAGTAATCAAAACAGTATGACATTGATGTTAAAAAATAATGATACATAGGCCAATGGAACAGAGTCTGGATCCCAGAAATAAACTTCCACATGGATGGTCAACTCATATTTGACAAGGGAGGCAAGAGTACTCTATGAGAAAAGGACAATCTCAATAAATAGTGTTGAGAAACTAAAAAACGACACTCAGAAAAGTGAAATTAGACCCCAGTCTTATACCACTTGCAAAAATTAACTTGAAATGCATGAAAGAATTAAGACCTAAAACTGTAAAACTCCCAGGAGTAAAAATAAGGGAACAGCTCCCTGACATTGGCCTTGGCAATGTTTTTTTTTTTTTATATGACACTGAAGGCAAAGCAAGAAAGGCAAAGATAAATAAGTGGGAGCACATCAAACCAAAAAGCTCTGTACAGCAAAGGAAACAGTCAACAAAATAAAAAGGCAACTATAGAATGGAAGAAACTATTTGCAAACCATCTGTCTGATAAAGGGTTAATATTCAAAACATATAAAGAATATTTATAATCCGCTAACAAAACCCCGGACAATCTGATTAGATGCTCTTTTTCCAGAGAAGGACATAAAAATGGCCAACAGGTACAAGAAAAAGTTTTCAACATCACAGATCATCAGGAAAATACAAATCAAAACCACAGTGAGGTACCACCTCACACTGGTCATCAAAAGATGAGAGGTTAGTCTTGGAAAGGATGTCGGGGAAAGGAAAGCCTTGTACGCAGCTGGTGGGAATGTACATTCATGCCACCACCTTGAAAACCAAAGTGGAGCCTCCTTAAAACAAGGAAAACCAGTACTGCCACGTGATCCAGCACTAACGGGGAAAAGCAGGGGACGGAAGACAAATCTGCCTTTTCACGTCTACGGCAGCCTTATGGACAATGACGAAGGGATGTAAGCAGCCTATGTCCATCCACAGATGCGTGGATGCAGAAGATAGGGATAAGATTATAGCTAAAATATTTTTGTTATCAATATTATTCAACCACGAGAGAGAAGGGAATGCTACCGTTTCCAACAAGATGCATCAACTTTGAATGCATTGTGGTTAGTGAAATAAGTCAGATGAAGAAAGATAAAATATTGCATGTTTTCCCTAGATATGGAATCTGCAACGGCCAAACTCGCAGAACCAGGGAGTAGAATGGTGGTTCCCAGGGTCTGTGGGTGGGGAGAGTGGAGAGGTGTTTGTCAGACAGTACTAAGTTGCAGGTAGAAAATTACTGAATTTGGGGGTCGAACGTGTGGCGAGGTGATTATAGTTAACAGTGCTGTATCATAGACTTAGAAGCTATTCAGAGAGTAGATCTTAAACGTTCTCACCACAAAAAAGACATGGTCATTAAGTGACTGAAGGAAGCCTGTCAAGTATTGTGTTTTCCATTTTATAACCAAGAATTCAACATTTTGAGAGCGTGTCTTGCTTGAAGTGGCTGAGGTGAGAAAGAAATCAGTGTGCTCTTTGCTGTTTATGCCACACACGTATTTCAGTGCTTTTCTCATTTTACTGGGAAAGTAATTGGACTTGTAATTGGGTAGTTAATTAAAAGAGGCTTATACCCTGGTCATGTGGCTCAGTTGGTCGGAGCACCATCCCGTAACTGAAGGGTCACAGGTTTGATCCCTGGTTGGGGCATATGGGAGGCGTCCGGTCAATGTTTCTCTCTCACCTCAATGTCTCTCTTTCTCTCTCTCTTTTCCTTTTAAAAAAAAATCAGTGTTAATGTCCTCGGGTGAGGGTATTCAAAAAATAGAGCCATACAGAGAGAGGATCACAAAGGCGATGCATACGTACCTTGAACTATTCATTTCAGATGAATAAACGTAGTTATTCTTCACCCTTTTTCTTGTAGACCCCTGCCTTTTCTCTGTGCCTGGCTGCCTGATTGAATCCTACATAGTATTTTCATGTACAAGGTCTGTCCAGAAGGTATCAAGTCTATGAAAGATAGGGACATTTTTTGAAGAAGATACAAGGTACAAGAAACATTGTACACAGAACAGTGATGCCTGAGTCCCTTCGAAGCAGGCACCTTGGCACCTCACACGGTTCTCCCAGTTGCCATCAGCTGCCCTGTTGTATTTTTCTGAATCTCATCGATGGCCTGAAATTTCTTTCCTTTCAAAGGTGATTTTAGTTTTGGGAAAAGCCAGAAGTATAGGGCACCATATCTGGGCTGAAGAGGGACTGAGTTGCCTGGGTGAATTGATGTTTTGCCAAAAAACTCTGCAGGAGACGTGCTGTGTGAGTGGGCACATTGTTGTGATGAAGCTGCCCATCACCAGTTGCCCGTAGCTGCGGCCTTCTGAATCATCCGGACAGTTTCTGGGGAGGAATGTTCAGGCTTAATGCAAAATTTGGTGCAGATTTATTGCTCTACTCACTTAGTCATTTTGAATGCAACAGCCACATAGTACACATGCTCACTCAACAGCATCTACCACCCGCACTGACCACTACAGTGAAGTCATTGTTGACACATGTGCATCCCAGTCCACTCTCCTCGGCTGCCAGCTTACATCGATGCTGTGCAGACCGTTCTTGTTATTATTGACAATGGTGGGACTTTTTCCGAACAGACCTTGCCCTCATGTTGTAATGCCTCATCTTACGATTTCTCAATTTCAGCTCCTTTGAAGTGAGGCCAAAAACATAGAGATACCCAAAGTATTCCGAAACCAGAGTCCTTGTAGATGTTTACAGCTTCTCCCCATCTTTTACAGTCATCTTGCCCACACCTAGTTCAACAGAAATATTTGTAATGACCCTCTTTTTGAAGGCTTTCCAAAGTATTCAGTGTGATTTTCAGAGATACTGTAGCTCTCCTTGAGGGCTTGTGTTTTATTGCTTTACACACTACCTAGTTATAGGAACAGCAAGAACTGGCTCAAACACAGCTGAGATCAAACCTTGCTGGCTTTGGGTCAGCATGAGGGGCAACAGCACGTGCAGAGGTGTTGGGGGGGGGCAGAGGACATTGTGAGACTCCCTCCCCACCATCATCCAGGACTAAAGAGGGGTCCCTTTCAATGGGGCTTCATGGGTTTGACCTAGAGAAGATGCCAAAGGGAAACATTTGTTTTTTCTAAGTAACATTTAAGAGGATTGGCTCAATCTTACATTTAAAATTGGTTTGGACTACAAGTACTTCAGAACCTTAAAATATAGATTCTCTGCTGGAATAAAAGTAATAATGATAATACTTTTTGCCTTTACTTATCTTAGAGAAGACTGTCTCCCTACTTACCAGAGGAGGGCTTATTACAAGGTTTGCGCTCAATACACATCTGCTGAAACTGTGACTAAAAAGCCATCTTTGGAATATAAAACAAACCTGAGTTATTGGAGCTTTGAAAGTTATCACTTTCCTGATATATAAAGATCCCTGTTCATTCAGTTCTGTGTTCAATAGAGCCATGTGGGAGAATAACTTTATTAAGTGGGAGTTATGTTAGAGAAGGTAGATGTTTATCTAGATCATTAGTAAACACTTTTTTTTTTATTTCCTTGAAAAATGTTTAACAGAAGATATATATATGAGCTTCAGTCATTGTGTGATTATGTAAATACTCTGACCCAGGGCAAAGGTTCAAAATTGGCAAGATGTTCTCACATGAGAAACACCGTCACGATTGGCAGTTCTCAACTATTCTCGTTTGTTAGGCTTTTGGGCCACAGCCCTCTGTGGTCAGCTGTGTGGTCTGCCTTCTCATCCAGGTCAATGTGCCCTTTCGGTGCAGAAGCCTGAGCAGGGTGGGGTTTTCCCAGTAAGGCCTCCCCCAGAGGACTTACGCTCACTTTGTCATTGTTCACAGCCAAGAGCTTCGTAATAGTAATTCGTGTTTGGAACAATTTTAGTCCAGTTCACTTGAGTCACAGTTTTGTGATTCCTCCCAGGAGTGTCAAATCAAAGCCATTCCTGTGGGACATTTAAGGATTAGTTTTTCTGCTTTTATGCTAAATGGGATTTAAGTGAATAATCCGAATAGAAATAAAAGAACATGCAATATTACAGTTCAAAGGCAAGCTCAGTCCACGAGATGACTTTATTTCCCCCTCTCTCTCTCTCTCCCTTGCTGTTTTCTTCTGCTCTCTTTTCCTTTTTATTAAAAAAAATCCCTTTCTTATTTTCACTCTTGCTTTCTCATTTTCCCCTTGATTTCTCCCTCTTTTTATTTTTCATTTAAGGTACATCTCCTTCCTGTTCTTTATTCCCTTCCCAGCCACTATCTTAGAGATTCTGCCAAAGGCTGCCCCTGAGTGATGGGCAGGCCACCTTGGTATGGTTTTCCACCGCTAAACTAATGAGGCAAGATGCAGAATTGGGACCAAGACAGGAAGGAAAGAGAAAGAGATCAGAGCTGAGCACATTCTCCATCAGCACAAGACGCGTGGAACACAGCATAAAGGCAGGAAGGCCCGCAGATTTACTGGGAGCGGGAAGTCCGCACCTCCCCTGTTTTAGGTACAGAGCTGGTGCTGTGGGTGGGGAGACCTGGGGGAGGGGCACGAGCTCAGGGCGAGTGCTCCTTACCCTCCTCCACCTCTGGTGGTCCTCACATCCACGTGTTGAACGCACTAGAGAAATAAGGGTGAGATGAACCCCACGGAAGAGTTCTGAGTCTGGGAGGGAGGCCGACACACAAACAAATAATTAGAGCTTGTTGGCAGAAATGCTAAGAAGGCACCGTTGAAATGCCATGGCCACACACCAAGGCGCCTGCTCGTGGCAAGTTGTAACAGGGAAAGGAAGGGAATTCCGAGAGAGGAAACAAGTGGAGGGACCTCCAAACAGCAGGAGGGAGGGCAGGCACAGCTTCGCTGCAGGATCTTACTGTTGTTGAAGGTCTTTGAGAAGCAATGTGGACTGGATTCTGCAGATCAGCGCCAGCCCGGACGGATCCAGCATTAGTGTGCGGTGAAAGGATAGAGTGGCAGGGAGCCGTCCTGCCAATGTTCCCGACGAAACAGCCTCCGCACGGATTACTGACGGCTGGGACTCTGTCACACGTGGGAACTTGACCCTCCCTGTCGGTCCCAGTGTAAAAATAGTTTCTGATAAACTGCTGTGTACTGTGTCAGACAATTGCCAGATCAGAAGGAAGTTAGACAGGCAGTGCCATTCGCAGTTTCAGAGACCGGCCTGGCAGTAGAATTTATGAACCTGGCATGGCAGGATGGGGGAAGGGGACACACGGGGAAAGGCTATTGCAGTGGTCCCGACCCCAGACGTGCCGCCGTCACCAAAACATTGCTGGAGACTTGGTCTCCGATAGGGGCAACAGGGATGGAGAGAAAGGATGTACTATCAAGACCTTTAGCAAGTAGAACTTGTGACTGTTTCACGTGGAAGTTGAGAGTAAAGAAGAAATAAAATAATCAGGAATATCGTTGTGTAGAGATCAGTGGGACAAGATGCTGGCTCATTTGCAGTAACTTCGAAGTATGTGAATTGTTCATCAATCGCACATCTGTATAGATTCAGTCTGGGTAGATATCCTAGTACTTGTAATGTGCTCGTTTTGGCAGTTCCTCTAAGAAACACAGATTTTACTTTTAGTGGTATGCCTTGATTATCAATACACCAAATAAGCCTAATGCCATTTAAAACAACAACAACCAACCAACCCAAAACCTTGGCTTTAAAGGGGAAAAGCGAAGATTGCTATGAACACATTTATGTTGTAACAGTGGTGTCCGTCCTGGGAACGTCAGGCATGGTCTCCACTTCACACAACACCTGCAATTCTCAGACTGGACTGTGTCCAAGGTATATTCCAAATAACCAACCAAGACAGAGAGCAGCTAACTAATTCGCCTTAGAATACATGTAATGTGCTCCATCGCACCCCCCACCTCCACCCCACACTCCTTTGTTGAATCTCTAACCCCTAGTATCTTAGAATGCAGCTCTGTTTGGACATGGGACCGTTCAGGAGGTGATTAAGTTAAAAGGAGGTCTGAGGATGGGCCCTAACCCAAATGCCTGATGTCCTTATGGGGGGAGATCTGATCACAGAGAGTTAGATGACGGAGAGTTGGAGACGGAGGGAGAAGATGCCCTGACAGGCCAGGGAGAGAGTCATCTTCCAAAGAAGCCAGCCTTGACACCAGTTTTGGGCTTCCAGGTTTCAGGAGTGTGAAAAAATATATTTCTGTTGCCTAATAAGCCATTCAGGCTGTATAGTGTTTTGTTCAAACTAATGTATGCATTTCCTAGATGGTCTAGACTGATGGGACTCTGGCTGGTCTGACTGAAAAACCTGACCTTTTTCTGAGCCCGCTTCTACCCCCTGCCCCCGAAGAAGAGTGACTGTCAGCTGAAGCATATGTCCCCACTCTCAGACTGGGGTGTGTGTGCTGCCAAGCACTTTTCCAGCAGTGGATGAGCTGCTTCTCCTGACTGGTGGCGATCTCTGTGTGGACTGTGACAGCAACTGGGGCAGAGAGAAAGGGCTCCCATTGCTATACTATATTAGGGGAAGGAAGATGGAATTTCATGACGTCTGAGAGCTTTGGGACTCTGGCTTCCATAGATGACTGAGAACTTACTCAAAGGCTAAGAATGGCATTCTTGGATTGTCCAACTGATAAGAGAGAAAGAGAGGAAAAGAAAAAAAAAAGAATGCTATTTGAGACAGACAAAGCTTTGCAGTGAACTAAAGGAAAAACGGAACTAGATAAGTCAGATACCAACTTAACCCACATCAGTTTGGCCCAGCTGGAGGTTCTTCCACAGAGTAAATGTCATATTTCTGATACAGACTTGGTATTTTAGCATTGTTTCATAATGATAGGATAGTTTTACCCAACTACAGCAGTTGCTAATTCAACACCAATGACAATAAGCTCACAAATCAGTTGAGTCTCTCTGTTCACAGCTTCTAAGTCTTTCCTTTATACTATGCGAACTTTCTATAACCTAGAATTTATGAAATGGAACCAGATGTGACCTCCCTACTTTCCCAATTTTCAGAACCCTATCCTACTAAAAAAAAAGTCTTTTACAGAACAACTGGCGAAGAATTATCAGGTAAATCATGTTATGTGGATGTTTATAAAACATTTTAGACTTGGTCTGGATGAATGTCCATTTCTTCACTTCTGAAAGAATGCAGAGTATCAAACACAATTATGATTTTATCATGTGTCATCAATTTCATAATAGGTTTGACCTCTGACAGTGTTCTTGCCCTGTGAAAAATTCACAGACTTTATCCTAATTTCACAGTAGTAAGTTTAACATTTTCATTCTCTTTTTGAGAGAAAGGATGATTCGAGATCTTCAGTACAATTCTTTCTGTCTCTTCTTTTTCCTCCTCACGGCCTAGCCCGAGCTCTTATCGTCCATCCCTGGGTTATTGCAACAGTTAGTTCCTCTGGCTGTTCTGCTGCCTCTGATTGCTTTTCTATATCTAATTCACCCTTCGCATTGCTACCAGATGAATAACCGTAAACCAGAACTCTGACTGTGTTAACTCCCTTGCATGGAAAGCATCTATGGTTTCCCATTAACCAGCTGCAGGATAAAGTCCAAATTCCTGAGTTATCCATAATCTGTCCCCACTCCATTTTTCAAACTTTGTAGTCTTATCTTCTAACACTCCCTAATTGTGAGCTAGCCAAACTGGTTTCCTGAACTCCTACAGAACTTACTGTCTATACTATTTCTTCTTATCATCAATCAAGCATCGTTTTCAGGAATTATTTGTCATGCAAGTTCTTGAGCTAAAGGGCCAAGCACCTTAGTCTTCATTACATTTTATTTTTCATAAAATAATCAATGTCAATGTTGTTTGCTTGTCTTTGTGTCCCTCACAAAAGGGGAATGGAAATGATTATTTATGTCTGGTTTATTAAAAGGTTCATTAAAAAGATGACAGGATCCAGGGCCGGGTGGTTCAGTTGACTGGAGCGTCATCCTATTTGCCAAAGGTTTCTGGGTTTGATTCCCAGTCAGGGCACATGCCTAGGATGTGGGTTGAATCCGCAGTCAGGGCGTGTGCAGGAGGTAGCTGATCGATGTTTCTCTCTCTGCCTTCTATTCTCTCTGGAATCAATGAACATATCCTCAGGTGAGGATTACAAAAAAAGATGACAAGAAGCAAATACATACAAGAACTTTTTCAATCATGGAGTTTCTAAGCTGTCCATGCTCATAAGGATAAAACATGTAAAGAAGAAAAGCATACCAACCAAGTGTCTACTATGAGCTGAGCAGTTTAATTCCCTCGTCTCATTCAGTGCCCCATTCACCCTGGGTTGGGTATAAGCTGTAAGAAGCCATATCGCTTGATGGCGGCAGACCTGCTGGCCAAGTTTCCCTGTGAAGGACTGATGTTAAGTGCAGTTCTGGAAGACTCACGCTCAGTCCACTCTGTCTGCTGCCTGGTGCTCCAGTGCAGCTGACTCCTCAAGAGTTCTTCCTGTAGAAAGGCACCCAGCAGCATGTGAATGTGGTACCATCGTCCACTCACAGCTCACGTCTACTTGACTCTTCCTGTGTGCCAGGCAGAGGGCTAGACATTCTCCCACCTTGATCTCCCTAGATCTCCTCCGCAAACCCACGGGGCATGGTTCCACCCGTTTAGAAAACACTTGGACTTAGAGCCCTTAAGTGATTTCTCAAGGATACCCTTGAGCAAGTAGTTGAATCAGGCCTGAATTCACCAAAGCCTGGGCTGCTCTACCTTCTGCTCTTAGAGGACACCCGTCACCCTTCAGCCACAGTCCTATCCTCCAATATGTCCCCAAACCCTATCCTCAAATGTTCTAAGAGTACATTTGCTTTCAGATGACACCCTGCTGTGCTCTGAGGAACACATTTTCACTGATAAGAGAGAATCCGAGGGGCCCAGGGGCCCCCGCAACATAGAAGGCTAAGAAGAACACATCTGGGAGCATGGATCGCATTCTCCTTATGGCTTTGTTTGATTGACTGATTGACTGATGTTTTATGGTCTTTGCTTGCAAGTTGATGCCTCAGTTTCAGTAAAAGGGGAAGTGAGATAAGTGAAGGATAAATAGTTAAAAGAGTTACAAGATGGATGGTGTAATCACAGTGACCTCACCCCTTGGGAAGCATTAAGGGATGAAGACTTAAAGTTGTGTTTTGAGGATGAAAAGAATGCACTTAATGTGCGTTATTTCATGAGGAAGCCAAAACAGGGTGTCCGCCCCATCTCGGGAGAGCTGGGCCATGGGGCTGCGGGCTGCACCCAGCCCGGCCTCCCCCTAACTGCTGTGACTCATCAGAAGGAGGGTATTAGAAAGTCCCGGGGAAAGGTGATTCCCGGGTGCACAGCTTCCATGTAGAAAGTCACTTATTTACCTATTTGTTGGTGCCACAGATGTGGGGCGTTCGTATTCACAAAAGGAGAAAACTCCCAGTGAGAACGAAAATAATTTGGAGAGTCGGGAACAAATTAGAACCCACACTGATGTCAATAGCAGATGCTGGCAGGGGGCGAAATTATTTTTTTCAAACACTTGTGCTCCTCCTGGTAAAGTAGTTAGTGTTGTATTTTCGTGCTAGGAGGAAAAAGTGATGAAAAGGTTTTAAACCCAAAGAAACAAAAACCCTTGATTCATGTCCAAATCTTCTGCAAAACAGGATCCCATATGGCCGGGGCTAGTCTTTTAGTAGGTCTGAAAAGGAATGAGAAGAAGCTCCCTTTAGCATTGGCTCTTGCGTTTTACCTCGTTTCCGCTAGGATTTTGCTGTTCAGTATGCATATCAGCCTGGTGGTTAGTGGAGAGGGGAGTGGTCGGTTTCATAACATTTTTACTACCTGTAGTAAATGGCCAGCCTGACTATCGCTGCAGTCTGCGTGTCGGCTGTGTGTGTGAGCAGTGAGAGGTGGTGGCAGTGGGAAGGGGTAGAGGGGAGACAGGCCCAGACTCACAGTCAGAACCCCAAGTTGAGCCACAGCACAGCAGGGTGCCTCCCTGCATGCTAAGCATCCCCAGTGCTCTA